TCTAATCATACATGCTTTATTCGACGGAATGTTTCTGGACAGTGTGTTATTCTTTTGGTATATGTTGATGATATTATTATTACTGAAGTTAATGTTTCTGGGACTGTGCAGGTCAAGGTAGACCTTGGGAAGGCCTTCGATTTTTGTGATACTTTCTTGGGATTGAGGTTGCTCGTAGCAGCAGAGGTATTATTCTTTCTCAGAGAAAGTATGTTCTAGATCTTCTTTCAGACACTGGAATGCTGGAGTGCAAACTGGCATCATCACCCATGATTCTAAACCTGAAGTTTACTGCTGAAGGTAAGGAGTTGAGAGATCCGTCTGTTTATCAGAGTTTGGTAAGTAGACTTATCTACCTAGCCAACACTAGGCCAGACATTTCATTCGCTGTTAGCCGAATTAGTTAGTTCATGTACAGACCATGTCAGCCTCATCTTAATGCAGTTTATCATATTTTTTGGTACCTCAAGTCTTGTCCTGGACTTGGGTTGTTCTATGCATCAGGATCTTAGATTGGTTCTTTAGCCTGTTATTCAGATTCAAATTATGGGGGAGCATGTGATGGTCGATCTACTACAGGTTTCTGTGCTTTTCGAGGGGCTCATCTTATCTCTTGGAAGAGCAAGAAGCAGTCAGTTGTCTCTCGCTCGTCAGCAGAGGTAGAGTATCGGGCACTGACACTTTGCACATGTGAGATTATCTGGCTACGATCGATTCTTAGCGAGTTGGGATTTTCAGTGACTTCTTCATCTACATTATATTGTGATAATCGATCTGCTATTTAGCTTGCTTCTGACTCTGTATTACACGAGAGGACGAAGCATATAGAGATCGATGTTCACTTTCTTCGGGAGAAGGTTAGTAGTGGTATTGTCATTCCATCGTTTGTGAGGACCAGTGATCAAGTTGCAGATGCTTTTACCAAACCTGTCACTCTATCCATTCTTCGGGATTCTGTTGTCAAGCTTGGCTTAGTTGACATTTTTGCGCCTAGCTTGAGGGGGAGTGTTGGAGATATAACAGTAGCCTAATTTATTAGGGCTTATTAAGTTTTCTCTTTTTACCTTTTTATCCTTATTGTAACTTTCATTGGCTATATGTACAGGGCTCTACACTGTTTGTATCTCTTTTTGACTCACATATTTCTCAAGTGACCCTTTGCAAAAGAATCTTGTAGTTAAATTATGCTGAAAATAGTTATCAATTTTTATTTGAGACTTTCCATTATAACCCCTCTCGAGCCTGTCCAATTGAACATGAAATTCATTTCAGAAATGTTGCTGCACCTATGTTTTGTGTTTGGAGTTTGATCAGATCAGAAGAATTTAATGTTCCTATTAATTAAATGTCCCCATAAAGATTTCTCAGGGTAGCATTTAGTTCATGAATAAGGATGGCAAATGATAATGTGGCTGCACCCACACTGCAAGTAGGTCGTGTTTCAGTCATTAGTGAGGACACACCGGACGCTTACAAAACTTGAAGTGCCATTATTGTATATAATTTTGTACTCATGTTGCTGGTTGTGTGAAGCAAGGACAAGTTTTAAGAAGGAATGTTTAGTGAAGTCAGGACATGATTTAGTCTGGAATGTTGCGATGGCATGAAGTAGGGTGATCCTTGGTAGACACATTGTATGCTTAAACAGCTGGAATTGTCATTATTGTAAATAACTTTGTACTCGTCTTTGTGGTTGTGTGAAGTCAGGAGAAGTTTTAAGAAGGAATGTCTTATGAAGCTGGGACATGTTTTAGTTAGGAATGTTAAGATGACATAAAGTATGGAAATCCTCTCAAAGTAAAGTACACGAAAAAATAAGGTCAAGGCCCATAGTTTTATTACCCTTTATGACAACGTCCAGTTACTTCATAAGATGAATGGTCAGCGTGTAACACGCGCACAGTTTTAGCAATACACCAACTTACAACTTCAGTAAGTGTGTTGTGCAACACATATGTAAAAGATACATGCAGATACATACACAAATCCGTAATCTAAGGTTATCATATCTTAATTTGATCAAGGAAATCAGCCGCTAATAGCCGGGATTAAGAATTCTTGGTTCTAAATCTGATTAATGTAGGAGGAGCAGTGAATCAGAAGTAGCTCATCCAACATCTAGAAGGCTGATATTTTCCATTTTTATTGAAGTATGAAACTTTGAACCACTGTCATCCAAACTCTTCCCCTCTGCCCACCTGTTCGTTCCATAACTGCTGTCATGCTTTCATAGCAGAGTTAAAAGTTTCAAGCATTTTCAGCGTTCCTCTTACAATTTTGTTTCAATCAGTATACTCTTTCTATTCAGACTAATACTTACAGCTATTTCCTTTGGCTTTCCAGGTATGACGTTGCTGCTTTCCTCAGTTACAGAGTTCTTAGTACGGGCGAACTAGTAAGATTCTTTTATCTTACCATTCACCTTCATTCTGTGCATTTGTTATCTTCCTTGCCACTTTAGTTGCCTAAGTTTTTTTAGCTACCTAAGATTATCCTTCATATATACATCTTTATGGATTTCTGTGCAATCTTAGTTGAATCTTCCCATAAAGGCTAGTTGTAAGCTCAATTGTATATTTGTTTCAAACCTGCAAGTATTTTGGATGAGGGCATAGTGATTGCAGATCAAGCTGGCTTTATTGACTGAGTTTTTTTAATTCTCTTTTCTTTACCGAGTTCTTTTGGGTAAGTGAGAGAATATTGAAAAGATTTCTTTGCTGAGTTGAAAAGCTTTATTTCCTGCATTAGGATTTTTTGTTTTTCCTTGTTTTTAAGAGGAGGAGGTGGAGATAGAGAGGGGGGGTGTTAAGTTTCCTACCACGAGGACTTGTGAGCACTGTATAGTGGAACAATATGACTTGAACTAGCTTGGCCATGGACCTTTGTTACATTCCCAAGGGAAACGCAACTGAATTGACAAAAGCTTGTCACTTAGCCGCTGCTAGTCCATGCTATAAGGCACATTGATTCTGGCATGAAGGCTATGGGCGGTGCCCACCAAGCTCTTAAAGAGTCCAATGCCCCTCCGGGTGTAATGTTGGTAGCATTCCCTGGGGTACTTTGACTTGGTGGCTACAGGTGGGATCTAGCTGAGATAAACCCTATTGTGAAGAGGGGCTTGAAGCAGTGGATATTGTTTTGCCCGGATTCAAGGGAAGAGGAGCCGCTTTGCTACAAAACCCACTGCAATCCAAACATTCCTTGCTACATTTTTTCCTAAAACATTCCTTGCTATATTAGAATTTAACATTCTGCTGATGCTACTCCACACCAGCTTGCAAACCCCTGCCCTGGAGGTTGCAGGCTCATGGCTTGTTGGTTAACAATGGCTCTTGGCTCATTTGGCCACCATATCTATAAGCTTCCATATTAGGGTCTGCTGTCTGGTCAAACAAGGAGGATTATGGCCTTGGAGTCCTCAGGCTAGAATGCACACCTACTAGGCATACCATTGCTACCTTCTCCAGTGGCCACCTTCCTCTTGCCAAAGTTTAAGCTCCTATTGTCCCACACCTGTGTATTACTTTCTTCATCAAGAATCCTACCAACACGTCATTTATAGCCTCATATTGGCACTCCTTTGATTGCAAGGTGATGCCACTTCTCTTCAAAATTGAAGTCTCATCGGATAACTCTTAACTTTGATACAAGGCCACTGGATCTGGTGACATCTTGTTCTCACACATTGGGCTTCTGCTGTAGTCTCTGGACATGATCATGTATCACATTATCTATATGATTATAACATGTAAATTGACGTAATTGACCATTTTCGAAAACTCTAAAACTGAATTCCATCATACATTAAAGAAGTGCACAATGCTTTGCAAGCTAGGAGTGTAATGAATCGATTTGGAGAAAAAGAAAATATGCATGGAATCACACAGCTGAAACTTCCACAGGAACACACTTTACACTGTCTTATTATTAGTCCGGATAATTGGCTGGAGTAAATAATATCTGACACATGTTTAGGACTGCCAAGGGCTTACCCTCAGCCATGTGCTGTCATAAACAACATCATGATGGTTGGACATATCACATCCTACTCCTCTCATTTCTATATAATTAGTAATGAAAAAGTATTCACATAAGGGATATAATTTTGGATAATATTACATCCACCTACTCCTTTGAGGTTTAGTCTGACAATAATTAGACCCCTTCGTATTTGGGAAATAACACTGACCTCCCTTGGCAATGGTGCTTGTTCCTTTTACCTAATAGAAATAAAAAAACGTCTAGAATGCCCTCATTGCAAAAGATTATCTACTTATGAACCATTAGTTAGTTTTGTCACATCCAATCGCCCAATGCCACATCATGCCACTATAAAACCAAAAAAAAAAAATTAATGGTAACAATTTACTGAACTAATGAAATTGATTTTCAAAAGGATTTGAATTTATTCCATTAATGAATTTAATTTTTTCCAAAACTTATAACAAATCTAATCAATTTATTAACTAAGGTAAATTTGTCTTTAATTTCAAATCAAATCTAAACAACTTTGTTAGTTAAGTTAATTTTGTCCTTAAATCCATACAAAATCTAAATTTTTTGTTAATTAAACAATATTTATCTCAAATCAGATAAAATCTAATCCAGTTAATTAGTTGAGCAAAATTTACCTCAAAATTTAAATTAATTCTATTAATTTACTTAATTTTGCACCCAAAATTCAACTTTGATTTGGAGAGAAAATGAATTAAGTAATAATTCATTTAATTTTAATATTAAATCACAGAAAGATACAATTAATTACATAATTTATCCACTAATCATGTTGCTAAACCTTGAGTTGCTAAACAGACATTGTCTTTCACCTCCATTGATAAATTCCCTTTTATATCAATATGGAGCTACGAGCAAGGCAGCCCTGCCTCGGAAAGAAAAGAAGCTAGCACCCTTGAGCTTGCTTGCACTATCACTACAATAGGAGAGAAAAGGTGAGAAATAGAGTGACTGAAGCTTTGGCCATTATCTGAACTAGAGCTCAGTTACACGCCTTGATCATCAGAGAGCGCCACCACTTCTACTTCCCCACCATTGGCAATGACCAACCTAGCCACCTCAGGACAAATCCATCTGTCTCCATTATCAGTGAGCTCAACCCCCTTTTCAATGAATACCCATGTCGGAAAAATTGAGACCATTTCAACAACCAATTTTAGAGCAGAATCAATACCCATTTCAATGAACACCACTTCCGGATCCAATGATATCACCATCGGTTCAACACCTATTGCAGATCTAGGTTTTCGTAATGGAGATCAAACACACAGAGTGAACGGGGTTGGATTTGGCTCGTGGTGGTCACTGTTCCATTTGGTTATGGTGCGTGCCATGGTTCTTTTTGGTTGCAAAGGAGCACTACTGAGCAGGTGGAGAGAGAGAGAGAGAGAGAGAGAGACGGCAGTGCAAAGTGGGGAGAGGCTACTGTTTCAGGGGGAGAGAGAGTGTGTGTGTGTATAAATATGTGTTTGTTTGGGAAATAATAATATGAATATGGCTTGGTTGGCAGTGGGTTTAGCTTGTCTATAATCTTAGTAAAGGTAATATTGGCATTTATAAAAAACTGGGTTGCTTATCTCACCAAACTATGGACGTCCCTCTAACGGCACCGTAAAGGTGGGGGAAACCTGTTACATGCAACCATAGCAGAAGTGAGACCAATGTTATTTTCTATACAAGATGGAGTCTTCTTGTTATTTGACCCATCCTTGGGGAAAGTGAATGTAATTTGCCCTATCATTTTTCATGGTTGTGAATGTGAGTGAATGTTATTTCCTATACAAGATGGAGTCTTCTAGTTATTTGACCCATCCTTAGGGAAAGTGAATGTGATTTACCCTATCATTTTTCATGGTTGTTATACGACTTCTGNTTCAAATCAAATCTAAACAACTTTGTTAGTTAAGTTAATTTTGTCCTTAAATCCATACAAAATCTAAATTTTTTGTTAATTAAACAATATTTATCTCAAATCAGATAAAATCTAATCCAGTTAATTAGTTGAGCAAAATTTACCTCAAAATTTAAATTAATTCTATTAATTTACTTAATTTTGCACCCAAAATTCAACTTTGATTTGGAGAGAAAATGAATTAAGTAATAATTCATTTAATTTTAATATTAAATCACAGAAAGATACAATTAATTACATAATTTATCCACTAATCATGTTGCTAAACCTTGAGTTGCTAAACAGACATTGTCTTTCACCTCCATTGATAAATTCCCTTTTATATCAATATGGAGCTACGAGCAAGGCAGCCCTGCCTCGGAAAGAAAAGAAGCTAGCACCCTTGAGCTTGCTTGCACTATCACTACAATAGGAGAGAAAAGGTGAGAAATAGAGTGACTGAAGCTTTGGCCATTATCTGAACTAGAGCTCAGTTACACGCCTTGATCATCAGAGAGCGCCACCACTTCTACTTCCCCACCATTGGCAATGACCAACCTAGCCACCTCAGGACAAATCCATCTGTCTCCATTATCAGTGAGCTCAACCCCCTTTTCAATGAATACCCATGTCGGAAAAATTGAGACCATTTCAACAACCAATTTTAGAGCAGAATCAATACCCATTTCAATGAACACCACTTCCGGATCCAATGATATCACCATCGGTTCAACACCTATTGCAGATCTAGGTTTTCGTAATGGAGATCAAACACACAGAGTGAACGGGGTTGGATTTGGCTCGTGGTGGTCACTGTTCCATTTGGTTATGGTGCGTGCCATGGTTCTTTTTGGTTGCAAAGGAGCACTACTGAGCAGGTGGAGAGAGAGAGAGAGAGAGAGAGAGACGGCAGTGCAAAGTGGGGAGAGGCTACTGTTTCAGGGGGAGAGAGAGTGTGTGTGTGTATAAATATGTGTTTGTTTGGGAAATAATAATATGAATATGGCTTGGTTGGCAGTGGGTTTAGCTTGTCTATAATCTTAGTAAAGGTAATATTGGCATTTATAAAAAACTGGGTTGCTTATCTCACCAAACTATGGACGTCCCTCTAACGGCACCGTAAAGGTGGGGGAAACCTGTTACATGCAACCATAGCAGAAGTGAGACCAATGTTATTTTCTATACAAGATGGAGTCTTCTTGTTATTTGACCCATCCTTGGGGAAAGTGAATGTAATTTGCCCTATCATTTTTCATGGTTGTGAATGTGAGTGAATGTTATTTCCTATACAAGATGGAGTCTTCTAGTTATTTGACCCATCCTTAGGGAAAGTGAATGTGATTTACCCTATCATTTTTCATGGTTGTTATACGACTTCTGTTAACATTCAGGAAGTTCGTGTGAGATTTTCTGGCTTTGGTAATGGGGAAGATGAGTGGGTGAATGTGAAAAGGGCAGTGCGTGAACGTTCAATTCCTTTAGAACCGTCGGAGTGTCACAGAGTCAAGGTTGGAGATATTGTGCTATGCTACAGAGTATGTATTTATTCTATTTTCCTGTAATCTTTTTAATTTGCAGTTGTTTGACATGGAAAAGTTGCTTTCTCTTTCTTAGAATTCGCATTTGATGAAATGTGATATTGCATCCATCATAGTCAAAGATGGATATCAAAGATGGCAAATATGGGACACTTCTTTTTGAGTAGCCTGAAAAATTTACCTAACTTCTGTAATCATTTTAATTTTGGCATTTATTGTTCATTTTCAGGAAAATGAGGATCATGCCCTATACTCTGATGCACGTGTTGTGGAAATCGAAAGGAAATTACACGACATCAAAGGCTGCAGGTGCATCTTTGTGGTTCGTTTTAACTATGATCATGCTGAGGTAAATCACTAAATCCATGAAATTTTGTATTTTCATTAGACTTTCAAATCTTTCCACCTAGGGCTGATAATTGAGCCGAGGTACTTGGGCTCGGGATCGGTCTCAGATAAGACTCGAAACGAGCCGAGTTCAAACAATTTTTTAGGCTCGTTTTTGTGTAAAATATGACACACACCGTCACAAACAAGTAGGGCTGATAAACAAGTGGATTTTAAACAATTTTTGAGTGCGACAGGCTGTGCTCAAGCGCACAAAGTTTGGCTTGATTATCATGTGTGTCATATTACAAGTCCATTTGTGAACTCCTTTTTACACCCAATTACTTTCTGATTATGTGAAAACCTGTTCATTTATGTTAGCTGATCTTGATGTTTCTCCCTCAATGCCAGGAAAAAGTTGAGCTAAGCAGAATATGTTGCAGGCCAACATAATGGGTTTTCCGGGTTAGGCAGAAACTACAACTGCACAACAAAACTTTTCGTCCCCTTTTGTTGTGAAGTATTGCACTGAATATGACAGGGGAAGCTTTGCACAGGTAAAACATTGTGCGTGGAATGTGTCTGCTAAACTCTCTAAGACTCTTACTTAGTCTCACATCGAATAATTACAACTATCCAAGGTTGCTTAAAAGGTCTTTCCGGCGCTGCCAATTAGTTTGGGGTTGAATGCTTGAACATCGTAGCATGGTTGGGCTTTAGGTGACCAGTGGGTTCAGTCTCTTATCAATTTGAAGGTATGCGTGTTCTAGCCTCTAGGATCACTTAAGGTTAGTTTATATATTTAAAGGGCTTCTTCATTCATTGTCAATTTATTTTGAGTAGGGTCATCCATCCACTTCTAATAGTCTCAGCAAGACTAACATGGATGTTACTACTGCAACCTCCACTTATAATTTTCAATTTGCATCCTCAAACATAAAACATTTTAATTTATATCATCAATGTTATGAATTAGTGGTAATGTGAACTTGATTTAAACCGCCGTTTAATTTTTTGTCGTAAATTGAAGTACCTAAGGTGTAAGTGTTTCGGGCATGAGGATGAAATATGTTAATCGTTGTAGGTCTTCATCCGCGATCAATTTGACACTGTTTTGTATATCGAAAATAGAGGTTTCATTACTTACTAATCTTATAATGTACAATTATGTGAATTTATATATAAGTTTATGTCTAAAACACTTGCAATTCATGTATTTTAATTTATGGCAAAAAATTGAAGGCAGTCTGGGCGATGTCTACATTGATACAATTCATAACATTGAAGGTGTAAATTGAGAATTTTAATATTTGAGAGTGCAAATTGAGAATTAAAACATTTTTCAAGGTGAAAAGTAAAATTAGTCCAAAAATAAAAGCTAGAGATGTCGGGAGAAGGGAATTGTTGTGATTCAGTTTCACATCGTTGGTTGGGATGTGTGTATGAATTTTGTTTTGCAAGTAAATTTTTCACCCTCACAAGTTTGACTTGGCAAATTAACCCATAATTAATCTATATTTCTAGATCATTTTTTTATGGATGGGTTTTTTTTATCCAAAAGCTCTTCAAAATACCCTCCACAAAGATTTGCACAAAAAGACTCCTTCAAAAATGATTCAAGGATACATCGAATGTTATTTATTTTCATCCACCAGCCAAAATTCCACAAAGGGTTATCTAGATATCAGCAGATATTCTAATTCAGAGCGAGCTTAGTACACATAGGAATCCATCATAGGGTTTGCACACCGATTATAAACTCAGGACAGTTGCTCGGTGTTTCCACTCAACGATGAAGCTTATACCCCATCTTTTCACTGGTCATATCTGATTTTCAGAGTTTGTACCATTCTCACAGCCCGCACCAAAACAGTGGTTTACCCTAGATGTTTGGTCAACTGCTACTGTCAATTTTTCAGTATTTCTCCGAATTGCTCAATCAATTAGGTATGAAATACCATTACCTCTGTGCTATCAATATCTCTACGTGTGATTAGCTAGGAGATAAATTTTCCCTATTTTTTTCTTAGAATTAATTATTGGGGACGCGCAGACCAGTTAAAAACAGCAGTAAACCAGAAAAGGAAAAAACAATAAACCAGCCAGTATTAAATTATCCAGATTCCAGTCCAATCCCATGCATACAATGTCAAACAGGATCATCAAAAAACATGACAATGGACATAAAGCCCCCTACCAAGAACTTATTGTCCTACAGTATACAAACTTTAAGGCAACAAGGGCACGCACCCACAATTTTCTTCAGTGTTGCGTGAGGGCGATGCTGGACATTAGCTAAACACGGTATCCACACAACTAAAAGACAACTTCAGAACTACTTATACCTCCTGTACTACGGTTAAGTTATAGCTTCAGCCCATCAAGACTTACTCTAGTCTGGATGCCTCTTCAGAAATCCAGGGTCATTACTTCCCAACATGACAACTCAATAAGAAGAGCAGGCAGGAAAGAATCCTGAAGACATCGGGCACTGCCTCGAATCAAATTTTGGCAGCCTTATGAAACTGTACGACCATAACAAACAGATGCAATATAAAGATTTTTTGCCCATTTTTCCTGCAAGGACCCAACGATATAATGGTTTTAGATGCCAAGAAAATTGATATAAAATAAATACTGGAGAATAAGATGAATATTAAAACTCCACCTTGACATGCGTGCTAGGAAAAGCAGAAGTACGAAGGGTCTCCTGTGTTTCATCAGCTGGCTTTCTTCTTGGCACGCTGAGAACAAGAGCGGTCTGATCTGAAGTTGCTGCAACAGCAGTGATACGATATCCATAATCCCACCGCTTATGAATGCCTTCGCTAGGATAAAGGAAATCTAATTCAACAACCTGAAATTATGAACACAAGTCAGCCCTGTATATTCCTTGGTAAAACAGAGTGCATTGATATCTAATGTATATATCCAAGAAAACCTGATCTTGAAATCCTGCGCCACGAGACATAACGACTCCCCATCTACTACCTGAGGTGGCCATGGAGGTAACATAGAAACCCTCTCTCCATTTTTTGTTTATCCATTTGAAAGGAAAAGAATCACTAACTTTGTAGGACTGCTGCAAATATTGTGTACCTGGATTCAAGTAA